GCTAAAATTTGAAGTGGAAAATTGGTAAAAACGAAGGAAAATGCGTGACAAACTCCTTTGTGATTATTTACTCCTGATATATATATATATATATATATATATATATATATATATTCATTTTTTTGTTTTACTTTGTTTACTTGTTGCTATTCGTAACATCAAGAGCTAATAATTAAGGTATTATTAGCTCTTGGTAACATGGCACTGGGTGGCCAATACAAATCAATTTTAGCATTTGGAATATTGCTCAAAGACAGATGTCGCCACTGGCGATGTGTACTGTGTCATGGTTCTGAAGTACCAATACGTATTTGAACGTGGGCGATGACGAAGGTGATATAAACAATATATTTCCCAGAAACTGGATATCATCGAACTAGAATGGTCACAGGTTACAAACGCGCTTCAAATGCTCTATCGGTGTTTGGTTAGGTGAAATGCGCGACCCGTATTTGACATAAATGTGTAAACACTAAGCTGTCGATAATAGGATGATGGGATTTACTCTTATGCATGGGCACTGGGCCTTTGCACTTGTTAATTGCAACAAAATCACATCTCGTATTTAGCGTATTCTAAGTTGATTTTGGCCGGACTAGAACCTTTTTATTATACGCTCGAGTAAAGGCTATGGGAATTGATTATAGGTACCTACTACTATGCGTACCACTATAGCAACGCATGCAATCGATGATTCTATCGCGAAATTACGGAATAGATCATGCGAGAAGCTGCTTACTGGTTCAGCTTACATGCACGGTACATATTTTTCTGGTTTGCTGTTCTCGTAGGTTTGGCCTTCCACGATTATGACGTACGTCGCAAGCTACTGACTGCATTCGCAGAGCTGTGCAGAATGCCGACCGACAGCTCGCCAATGTTCAGCGAAGAATGACGATGATATTCGATTATAAGACTTACTCGGTCAGCGAGAAAAGGCCTTTAACGACCGATAATTCCGAGACGCGGTTAAACGCGTCTGCGCGAAAGGCGAGAAAGTGTAAACTGCTCTAATGTAGCCGGCTCTAGGAAAACGTAGGCGCATGTCATCTATCGTTATCTGGCGATGCGGCTGCTGCCTAGCTAGAATCGCGATGACGTCGACGGACACGCGCGCACCACGCAGCGTTCAAAGTGATTACGTCACCGTAAATAGTAAAAATAAAAAAAATATTTATATAGTGATTCTGTTCACCTTTTATGGTTAAATTGCTGCATTATACTTCCTATTTTACTACATTGTTCGATGTGAACATACACTCGTGACTCATACATAGCTCATAGCAAGCAATTAATGTCAGGAACATAATATCAAATCTTCCAGGTTTTTTGGATTTTTAACTAGTTGAGGAAATCTTATCAGGTAAGAATTTGACGATACGTTTAGTCCCGTTAGTTCTTACTTTTAATGTAAAAAAATGGCAACAAAAATTTCACAAATTTTACCATCAAAAATTCGTGACGTAGTCAATTTAAATCCACTCGCTCTTATGCTTTCCGTACCATTATCTCCACAGCCCGTGTTATACCTGAATTCTCTTCTTTTCGATTCTCTCATCGTCTCTATACCTCTTCCACTTCCCCCACTATTCTCCGAGATCCACATTTCTCACCCGACGTTCACCCACACCCGCCCAGTATTCACTATCCATCATCAGACTCCACATTTCTCCATCCGCCGTACACTCTTCCACACTACACAATGAATTTTGCTTTCTTCACCCTCAACTGCATTTAATTCTTCGCTCTATACTATACACCTCGTCAGATGTCATTCTATCTCTCCACCCTTTCACCCTCAACCGCTACTTCTCCTCTACCAACCACTCCTCCTCCACCTATCGCTCCCCTCCACCCACGGGCCACTGGACACCTCACCCATAACTTGCCCTCCTCCAAACACTCCCCCATCTATCCCACCACCTACAGCCACCTGCCACTTCCCACTCAACCCAGTGAACCCACCACTCCCCATAACAAATATTTCCCATTTACTCACAACACCCTTTGCACACACCGCTCTCCCTCCAGCCAGTTTCTCACCACCCACACTTCCCCCTCCACCCACCACTCCTCCTAACCCACCACTACATCCACCTATTACTTCCCCTCCACTCACAGCTCGATCCCTCCATCCACCACTCCTCCATCCACCCTCAACTCCCTTCCACCCCCACCCTCCACCCACCACTTTCTTCCACCCACTACATCCCCCTCCACCCACCACTTCCCTTCTACCAACTATTCCTCCCTTCATCCACCACTTTTCCCCCACTCACCACTTCCCCTCTACCCAGCACTCCCGCGTCCACCCACAGCTTCCTCTCCATCTCCCACCCCACCTTCACTCCCTACACTACCCGCGAATACACAACATCTGCCTGATAATAGCCTTAAACGCGGGGAGATGCGGGAGAGAAAGGTGAATGGGGATTAGGAAAGGCTGGCGAGTAGGCGACCGAAATAATTGGCGCCAAATGGCGGGCTGGTTGCGCGGCGCGCGCGTATACCTAAACGGATTAAATACGCGTAGCCGCTCTGTTTATTTTTACACTGGGCGGAGAAAGCTAGACAGAGACAGACACACAAAGAGCGAGAGAGAAAGAAAGAGAGGGAAAGTAGAGCGAGAGAGAGAGAGAGAGAGAGAGAGAGAGAGAGAGAGAGAGAGAGAGAGAGAGAGAGAGAGAGAGAGGTGTACACCGTGAACGTGAGGTAAGATGAGTGATAGGATAGACACTGCGGTTTGTGTTTTCCACAAGCAGTCTTCAATTCGCAGCCGATAGTTAACGCAGGGCACCGGGCGCGCGCGTAAAAACGGTCTCGCCGTAAAACTGGCGCGCTCTCGCTCCGCGCTTGGCTCCGCGCCAGCACGTATGCCCATGCCGTCGCCGGTGTTTACCGTCTGCGATTCCTTCTGTTTTGACCGAAGCTAAAACTCGGCTATGCGGGTTCGGGCGCCGCGATGCGGTACGTATATACGCCACGGCACTTAAGTGCGCTGCCGCCGCACGGCGGATGGCGATGGAATGCCGGCGAATGAGTCCGCGAAATTGTCGCTAGCTAACACGTGCATGTCTCGTGTTTACAAGATGTGCGTCGTGACCAGATAGAAAGACGTACGCTGCTGCACATGCTAGATCGGATGCTCGATGTGTAGTTTCGTCGCTGCCGAACACGTTGTTCAGCGTGATACAGCGGCCATGTTACTCGGCGGCGCGCAAGTGTTGGCATTTGATTTCATGCTAGATATCTTCGAGGCCTAGCTATCTGTCACCGGGTGCTGTTGTGTTAGGTCGTTGAACCTGTTTTGCCCTAAACCACAGAGTTATCGCATGTGTAAACTATCAGGATATATTGCCTGCTGCCTTCTTTAAATGCTTCGATGTAGTGCTAGAGAGTTTTAAAAGGAATCGGAGTCTAATTCTCGTCACATGAGTTCAGTAGGTGATATTATTACTGCTTCGGCTTACTGCAATTAAGGATTCACAGAGTGTTGTATTCACTCGTACAAGGGACACTTTTATAGACCAACACTCAACATCGTAAAACGTAGACCAATGTACAATTAGGAGTTAATCTCAAAGCACACTAGGCAAACCGAACTACAATGAATCGAATGCGAATGAAGTGCAATTCGTTATTAAAGTGTTTTCTCATTGATGTGCCGGCGCACCCGTTTTTGTGATGATCTTGTTTTGGTCGGGTGTTTCCAGCTCATAACACTGCCCGCAATTAAGCACAATATTAATTAATCCGCCACGCAATTAACGAGCATGGAAATGTGAAATACGCGGATGAAAACTCTCATTTATCTTCATTAGATGTAATTAGTAAACTTTATTTAACTTATCATTTGCATACCACTAGCAGGTTACTATATGAGGCATCGTAATCCCTCATATATATATATATATATATTTCTAACATGCGATATGGACAATGTTGCTACACTAACTGCTGATGATGCCACAAACACTTCGAAGACTCGATAAATGCTTCGGTGTGATTTTTATGTACTAAATAAAGCAGATAATCGTCGTAATGTTTCGCTGTTAGTATATTTGCAGCGCGTTAAGTTAAGAATTTGATAACAATTTTTATCTAACGTTTACAGTTAGATGTCCCAGTGTGTGCTATATATATATATATATAATATTATATATGATACTCGATTACTCGTTGCTTTTCTTTGGTGCTTCAAAATGAGCGATTAATTACAGCAATCAGGTCGTTTATTATAATACGTGCTTTACACATCTTCTATGCTATGAATGCAATTATGTGAATAAAGTGTTTTAAATAAAATAATTATAAGGAGCGTCGGCAATTGTTGAGATACGCTGCATTGTAACAAAGTCACAATCGCCTGATTATCTAGTTATTCTAAAATTGTAAAATATACCTACCCTCATGCACTATTTATATTATACATGCTTTTTAGTATTTTTACATCTATATATTATTATTGATTATATCATATGGTAACAAATTGGTTCTTTTACCTGAACTAAACATACATGTGCAAAATATCACAATATTTTTATCACATGGTAACGTCTAATAAGTATACTAAAAACAATATTAACCAAGACTAACGTGAAATATAACATACATGTTTAACGTAGACAAAAATGAACATGGACTTAAATTACATTACATAATATTCGTGCGCCGTGTTAATGGCCCCAAACAAACCTTTTAATTACATTAACCACTACTTTTAATACTTAAATAATCACCTATTAACAGTCATTGTATGTGTTGGGTGATTACACGCGCGCGCGTGTGTGTATCTGGGTGGAATCTGTGTTTTTATGTACGCATATAGATACGCATGCATATACTCATATATATATATGTTTCACTATAGTGCGGCACCCAACATTGCCAGAGTTCTCATTTCTCGCCTCAATCGAGCTTACATATTCGCTAATTATCGTTTAGCACTGACACACGAGTAACGTTAAACAGGAACTTCGCCACATTGCTCTATTTTAAGCCGTTATTGTCAGAGGTCATAGTGATGACGCGCAGTGACGAGCACGTCACGTGGCATAGTCTTTACCGCTCCTCTGACCTTGAACCCAATTGAATGGCTGTCATGCTATATTTTTCTCAGCAGTGGGTGTCTCTGATGTCTTCCGTCCTTTGCTGCTATCATTGCCTCCTGACGTTAGCTTCCTTATGATGACATCCACGCGGTGGCCTTCCAACAATGCCTTCCTTCAAATACATCCCTTACGATTGCTTCTTCGTCGCTGCGGCTGGAGTCTTGGTCTCTGTTCCGTCGCTAGGCTTCGCGGGGCACTCTCCTGGTACCTTCTGGTGGCGGCTGAGTTGCGCCGACTGTGAAAACATCGCATTGCACTGCTCGCATCTGTAAAACGCAGTAAACACATCGTAGGGCCGTGGTGCGTCGAGGGTAATAGCCCGAGAGTACGCGTGCGTACATACCGACGTTACGTGATTGCATCGCGAGGCATCTCAACGATCTCGCGTGTCCTCGTGTGTGTGGGTGTGTGTGTGTGTGTGTGTGTGTGTGTGTGTGTGTGTGTGTGTGTGTGTGTGTGTGTGTGTGTGTGTGTGTGTGTGTGTGTGTGTGTGGTGTCGTATCGTGTGTGCGTGTCGTGTGTTTGGGTGTGTATGTTGTGTGCGTGTGTGTGTGTGTGTGTGGGTGTGTGTGTGTGTGTGTGTGTGTACGTGCGCTCGTGCGTGCATGCGTGCTAGCGTGCATTCACACCCGCGTGCATGACTGCGTACGTTTACGTTAGCGTGTGCGTGTGTGGATGCCTCATCCGCCCATGATCGGAACGTGCTACAATGCTGGAGGTGGTGTTGCCCGTTGTGACCCATGACGCGCTGAGGCCACGCACACCCTTCAACTATTCTTCTATTAGTACAATGGGACGGCGTTGATTAACCGCGGCATTGGGCGAGCCTTGTCGGCCCCTAAAGGCGTCCCGCACTCATATACGTACTTAAAGGGTCGCTCGCCCGTGTGCGTGCGCATGTGATTCTTCAGCGTCGTCGTGCCGGCGAATGCGCGTCCGCAAAACCCGCAGCGGAACGGCCGCTCGCTCGTGTGCGTGACGACGTGATTCCGGAGTTCTGAGGCGTGCACGTAGGCCGCCGTGCAGTGTCCGCACTGTGGTGGCCGGAGGAAAAGAAAACACGCACGAAATTAATTGTAACGTATATTTCCCGAATGGCGTTAGTGAAGTGGTGAGTGACGATCCGTGCTATCCTGTAGTACGCAGAGGTTACCTGGTAATTAATAATGATTCCCGATCACTAAAAGGCGACATGATTGGTGAATCAACATTTAACGTTAATATACTGAGAATTGGCATTTTGAAATAACGCAATACGATTCCCGACTCCCTAACAAAAAATCTATATTAATGTGTTAAAGACTGCGCGCGAGCATTTTAGGAGGGATGATGAAATTGTGCTAACAGCTTAATATTTGGCCCCGTTCGGGAGTAAGGAGGCCATGCTATGACAATCTGACTAAACCCAATTAATGAGTTAGTTATTGAAAAGACATTAAACAAGAATTCATTTGTTTAATGTATATCAACAATTAGACACATTAAGAAAATTTCAATACTAATTATAGCATTCTCTTCGTGGATATCAGGTCAGCGACGAACATAATATCATGAGACATCCATCACATCATAACTGGATATTGAACAGTCAACCTCCGTCGACTAATTATAACCTATCACCTTTTTGTAAAAACAACTCGACTTTTTGACAGAATAAAGCTGTTTATAAATATGTAATAAAAGATCGGGTGTGACGAAGCCGAAGTTGAGATTTAGGTAAAAGCAACACTGATAAATAATTGCTCTGAATACTTTTCATGTGTTGAAGCTCATGGTCTCTGTCAACCCGTCAGCTGAACAGCGCCTACACCAAGATATTAAAACTGCACGCATCGTTGTATGGATGAACATGCCAATATACGGGACCACATCTCTACCTGTCCTCGCCATGCCATGTAGTCCCAAATTCCCATGCCCCATAATGCATTATGAATTAGTGAACATGTTGCGTGTAGAGATTGACAGCTCGTTGATGACGCGCGGTAATAGAAGCTACCGATTGAAATCGCGCAGGCCCTGCACCACGCGTACACTGCCGCTACTGTTGATACTGCTGTCGCTGTGTAAGCTTCAGCGATCCACACCGACGTCAGCGCTGAACGCGTCCGAAAAAACTACGACACTGAAAACATCTCCGCGTCAAAGTCGCGTCGAATGATGCGCGCGTGAAAAACCAGAAACGATGGTTCTTTAGGCGCGCAGACGCCGTGTCATCGGCAATATCAAAAACGCCATTGAAAACTTTCCAAACTCTCTAGTACGGCACTTAGTCGAGAAAATACGAGAGCGGGACAATAAAATGGCCGCGAGCGATTTATCGCGTGAGCGCCGGCTCGCCTCCGGCTTGTCAACAGCGATCCCGTAGACCCGTAATCACGACACGATGCCGCTCTGCTAGCGCTCTAATGCATGCCGCTGTGCCCGCTCGGAGAGCAGTCACGGAGACCTTGTTTAAAGCTGTTTGATCACGTAAAGTAGACGACGACCCGACGACCCGTCGTAAAGGAGCTGTCGTCACGCACACGACGTGTCCGCCTCTATACGCGCCGCGCCGTGCGAATTCCGTCGCGTGACATGCCATGTAGACGTCGACGAAAATAGTTAGGTTGTTCATTTCTTCTTGGTGAATATTTCCTCACTTGAAATTCGTTCTTAAACACGCGCTTTTCGAACCTGCCGCGTGACATGCCGACTGGTGCTGAGACGTTTTTTGCTCGCGCGGAGTAACTGTCAGAACGACAACGCGCCAGTCTTTATATTATAGCGAACACACGTGAGGCGACGCCGCCTGATCGCCAGTGGAGCGCAAGCCGCATACTGAGGAGGAAAATAAACATTTCATTGGCTTCTATTGCGCCTCGGGGGCTCGAAGAGAACATCATCCCTCGATCGGAGGACGTCGATGTAGGCTGGTGGTTTCTGCCGCTGTCGTGATCGCGCTTCTTTAATCGCACACTCGGCGTCGGTCACGCGTCCCTGCTTCGCCCCCCCCCGCCGCCTTTCTCTCAAAAGGAAAACGCGCCTACTCCCAGCGGCTACCGGGAAAAATCTGTAAACCACCGTATGGCCTTTCAGCACGTGGGTCTGTTTACCACGATGATCAACCCTAGGGTGCGAGCCGACGAGAGCCCAACAATAAACCGATCTTAATAGCCGTGCATTTGCTCATATACGTGTCTTTGAGTGTCCAGACTAAAACCTGCAATAACTCTTGCAATATGCCCCCGGGGGCGCGTGTGCTATTTTACGGATGTCGGAGAAGAACAAAGGCCATATTACGGGGGAAAAAACTTGCAATGACCATACTAAATCTGCACGCTCACGAATTTTTCGTGGTTTGCAGGCTTTCGCGCCCGTGTTTTTTTATTGATTCTTGCTAGTCCTCCCCTTGTTATAAGATATAAAACATAACCCCTTTGTGCGGCGTATAGAAGTGAATCGAAAGCCTGCGAGTTTCCTTCGTCGGGCAACTGTTCTTCATAAAACGATCCTCGGCGGAGGTAAAAGAGCATGAAAGAAACCGAGAAACGATTTTATGTTTGCATCAACATGTTCCCTGCTCGGCGCGCACGCAACTAAAGCGACGTCGAGGTTGCGGTTTGGGATCAGAAGTGCGTAAAAACAGTTTTATGTCCGCGCGCGTAAAAGGCGAGAGTTTGAGAAAAACTTGCGGATTGCAAATAGAGGTGGTAAAGGTAGCTTGCGCTACGCTTCGATGGTCTTATGCCTTCTTATTAAGACATGTCCACGACGTTCTCTGGTGTGTACAAACACGCGTGCGCGCACACGCACACGCGCACACTCGCCCAAGGCGACGTTTATGGACATATGGTTAGGGTAAACATATTTTCAGGACAAAACGACTCACTAATTTTAATCATACATACATTATTTTGCTCCATACGCTCAGAAATTTGCATCTGCGTTCGTTGCATTGCCGGATTAAGTAAGAGGAATTATCATCTAGCCTGAAGATTAACTGAGACGTTTTTCAAATAAAATTTCAGCAAGAAAAGTTGAAAATGCAGCTACGTTTGCACAAGCAGAACGTTATCGATTATGGGTACATTTGCCATGCATTATGAAGACGTATTTACATTATAGACATTGTAAAAATCGTAACATTATCAGCTCTGTTTTCAAGATTTGGCTGAATGTAGAGAATAGGATTTGTAAAGGTTTGTTTTAATAAACACGATTATCTTACGTTCAACGTTATGATCTGATGATAGTATTGCGACTGACCTACTTTTATGCAATCACTAGGCGAGAGATCGCTCACATCCGCGTCTACAGCAAATATCAACACTATCGCTCGATAGCAATACCTAGGCGTGAAACTTTCTGATGACAGGAAAACTACGCGATGGCTCTCCGGTTGTACACAGCATGATCTAAAACCAAGTCCATTTTACGCGCTTCATATTTTTTACGAACATCGCCGACAAAAAGGAATTTCTCCACCCGGCACAGTGAGTGGTATGCGAGCGAACGTGAAATGCTAACAGTCAAGCGCAACCGCGATGCTGGGATGCCTGGTTGAAAAAAACACACACCCAGGGTTCATCCGTCCTATAATGCTGCATGAGGAATTGGGGCTGTCGGTGATCGATCGTCCTGAATGTTCATCGCGCTATCAAGAGGAATCGTAGCAGGCAAGGCTGCTGAGCTAAGAATTGACGAACGACCAGAGAGAAATACTCCGAAGACGCTCCCCCACCTCTGAGGCCCAACCTTCCGCTAACCCTTAAACGAAATGCTTGCTATTAGTCGTTTTTACACTGCGTGGGCGAGAGGCTTCGTCAGCGAATCGCTGTGTTACGGCATAAACAGTTCATAGTAGATAAACTACAACCTTGTTGCCCGCCATTATTAATAATTAGGTTCCATTATTATTTATATATTATTTATAGCAGTGTAGAACGAGTTCTTTGTAAAATTCGGCTGCATTTTTCTAGCGCGTATCCGGGGGTTACAATTACGCAAGTATTAGGTTTCCATCTAGCCTACGCAAGATTAAAGAACGCCTGGTGAGCGCACTGCTTGCTGCTTCTCACCGATATCGGTTAGCTGACAGAAAACTGCGAAAGAATAAAGGAAAATAGAAAGAGTCAACAAAATAAATCTACTCAACGTTGCAAAAAGCGTAGCACAAGAAGAGTAGCAAGTCTCTAAAATTAACTAAAAGTTACAGGACGCGCGGAAATGATAGGAAACAGCCGAAACCTACTAGACACAATAAGACAGTATAACAAGAATCAACGAAAAGTTAAGTTTAGAATACCACGGAAAGCTAACAAGAAAAACCACAATGCTTCAATGTAACGCAAAGCTGCAAAAACAAAGGTAAACCACGGGAATAAACGCAAATCTCCAGTGTGTACGCATGAAATAGTGTAAGGCTATAAAATTACAGGGCTCAACAAAGATTTAGAAAAAGGCTATGAAAACAACGAGAGGATGCAGAGAAGCAGCAGCAACACTGCGAGAAACGGCGAACCGCTCAGCAGTGAACAGAGTAAGCTATACTATACGAGGCGTGTGCACTGGCATGCGCACAGAACATGCAGGATTTCTATGCTGTTAGCCCGATGTTTTTATCTCGGCAAAATAATATGCAAGACATTGCGCTCTGCATTTGAGTCTTTCAGTAAATCGCTCAGCAAAAAAATATATAAGGAAACACGAAAAATCAAACAGCTAAGCAAAAGACAACGATTAGCGATTAGTGAGTGCGTAGGTCTCGAGTGTATAGCAATTACACCCAATGTTAGCTATATACGCAACTATATAGTAATCGCCAGGGATAAGCACCAAAATGTGTTGATGCTGAGAGTGGTCCGGCGTACCCTACGTTTATGACCGAAACCCAAGTGATCATCCTTAATAGGCTATAAGAGAACGAGCGCAGGAAAAGTAGAAAGGGGCGTCATTCACAGTGTAGGCGCATGTAGTAAATGAGACATCTGGTGTCTGAGTGGCCCTTATATGCTCATTCATTTCTTATATGTTCTGATTCATCGACGATCAGCTGCGATGACGTAATGCATAACAAATGAACGTCGCTGTTCTCCTCAATATTAATGTTCAACTGATTAGAGGAACGACAGAAAAAAATGTCTCTCTAGCGTTCCGCGAGACAACTGTATCTAGACACTAAACTCACATTTATGATAATAGCTGCCGAAACCATTTAGCGAGTGTAGCCACATTTTTAACAGCCGGTGGAGATATTCAAAGGAACCGACAACCTACGATACCGGGGAGCGTGTAACACACATACATACATACACGCACGCACGCACGCACGCACGCACACACGCACGCACGTACACACGTGTTGTATGCTTACACCGCTCCCCATGCAAGTTGTTGCACGAGGTAGAGCACTGCAGCTACGGGGCGCCATGAAGGACAGGGCTCAATTCTGTCGAACCGGTTCCACAAAACTCAATTTTGTAAACACAAAACTCAATTCTGTCGAACCGGTTCCACAAAACTCAATTTTGTAAACACAAAACTCAATTCTGTCAATCCTGTCCCACAAAACTCAATTTTGTGAACACAAAACTCAATTCTGTCAATCCTGTCCCACAAAACTCAATTTTGTAAACACAAAACTCAATTCTGTCGAACCGGTTCCACAAAACTCGATTTTGTTGCCCAAATATGGCACACGCATGTAAGAAGGGCTACCATTGGTCAGAAGAAACAAGATGGCGACCATGACACATTTCTCCAGCCCAGTTTCTGACCAATGGTAGCCCTTCTTACATGCGTGTGCCATATTTGGGCAACAAAATCGAGTTTTGTGGAACCGGTTCGACAGAATTGAGTTTTGTGTTTACAAAATTGAGTTTTGTGGAACCGGTTCGACAGAATTGAGTTTTGTGTTCACAAAATTGAGTTTTGTAGAACAGGATTGACAGAATTGAGTTTTGTGTTCACAAAACTCATTTTTGTCAAGTTTATAGGTACAAAAATGCCTGTCCTGCATGGCGCCCCGTAGCAGCAGCAGTAGTTGTAAGTTCACTATCACGCATACGAGATGCATGCGAATATTGTTGCGCGCGCACATGTAGCATGTTCAACTCCGTCAGCGCATGTTGGACTTAAACGAAGTTGTTCGACGCAAATACTGCAACGACCATATAGTAGCCGCCAACGGAGTCGATCGTCTCGTACACGCGTACTAGTAACCTTTCCACTCGCTGTCCCTAACGCTCGGGGATCGCACGTGGACGCGTAATAAATAGAGAGGCGGAATGCTCGCGGGCCGGCCTGTCGCTGCCATCGTGCGCATTCCGACCGAAACACGAGAGGCTTGTTAGTTCCAAAAAATAGCAGAGCCGTCACTTATCGGGATTTTGTCAATGATACGCGCGGAAAAAATGCGCGCGCCCGGACGCTTGCCAACTCGTACGCACGCGTGTCAACGCGCATGCGCTGTGCGCCAACTCGGAGGCGAGATTGCCAGCTCGGTGGAAGGGGTAGCCAGCGCTGCTAGAATAACCCGTGCGCCATCGTTTCAGCATACGGAGTTCGGAGTCAAGGTCGCACTCAAGGAGATACAGATTAGATACTAGTGTTTACGTCGACTGGAGTCTCGTAATTAAGACGCATAGGCACAGCTTCGGTGCACGTGCTGAACGTTCGGGCCTCCGTATACCATACTGCGGTCACACAGGCTGTCTGTCCGACTCTGCTATGCATATACGCGGATGGCCTATTTATGGCTATATGCGAGCCGCCGATAAAATATATGCGGGTGCCGGGCAAACATATTTAGCTGAAGAGCCAAACATACGTGGGTGAAGAAACCAAACATACGTGGGCGGGAAGAGCCGAGTTGTGAAGATAGCGTTCGTTTTTTGTTTGTGCGTTTATTTATTTTGGGTTTTTTCCCTTCTTTGCTCACCGCTAATGAACTCCGAGTACGCAAATGAATGGTCACGAATCGTGTTTTTTGTGGACGCGATGACGACTAGATGCTTGCTGTGACCTTGACGCTGACATGCGTCGTTACGGAGCTGCGTGTAACCAGATCCGGGCCGGTGCGGCTTACCCGCACGTTCTTATCCGAGATTACTAGATGTTCTCCCGACACGATAAACCAACTACTCAAACGTAGAGGCGGGAACGGCTAGTCGAAGATTGTGAGTTGCGAATATCAGTACAGATGTGAATGTGAATGTAAATATAAATTTAATTATGAATGTAAATGGAAATGGAAATGGAAATGGAAATGGAAATATTAATGTAAATGTAAATGTAAATGTAAATGCTAAAGTCAATGTCAATGTCAGTCAATGTCAACGTAGATGTAAATGTAAAAGTATATATAAATGTTAACGCAAATGTAAATAGTACGTGTAAATTATATCGCTACAATAATATTCGCATGGGAGGCACGTGTGAAAAATAAAGTGTATACCTGATATGGCCGATCTGGGTTCTGAGCGCAGACGTGCATCTGCAACAGGATGCGTTGGGTAAACGTCTTGAAACACTGTCCGCATTTCCAGAGGTGCCAGTCGTTGGAGTGCCCTCCTCCTCCTGCTCCGCCACCTCCCCCACCTCCGCCGCCTCCTCCTCCTCCTCCTCCTCCTCCGCCTCTATCCTCGCATGACTTTATTTTGGGCGAGATGCCGTTAGAACAAGCGACGATGCTCTCTGGGCTTCCCTGCGTAGTAGCACTGCGGTACGGTAGATGGCGCGCGCTCGGCTTCGGGGTCAAGGCCTTCGGAGAGAGGTCATCACTCGGCGGCGTGTCCAAGATGGCGGACATGTTGTAAAGAGGGCAGCCGTTGTCGCCGGGCTCCTGGTCGGAGCGAGTGGACACTGGCGTCGACCCAGCATTAGTCATCGACTCTGCAACAAAACACGGGCCGCATGTGACTGTTACAGCAGCTCCCACCTAGTCTTCGTCTCTTAGGTCGTAGTCTCGTGGAAGAGTTAATGTTTCGGTGAGGGCGAAAAGCGTTTTTTCGTACATATTAAAAAAAACCCTAAATGACCGAATGTATATGTTTCGGTGTCTGCCTGGCGGTCGTAATCTCTTGATATGAATGACCTTACTAATGGCGCCAATAGCATTATTTACAGGATAAGATCAGAGAGTCGCCTCTTTGAGCAATATTCACGTCGTTTGGGCATTTATTGCAGCGGTACCTCCGTCCTGAGACAGAGAAAAGAATTGCGCGGGCATGCACACATACACACACGTACACACGTACGCGGTCTACCGCACGCATGTACCCCGGCATGCACGCATTCACGCCGCACGCACGCACGCACACACGTGAACGCACGCATACACGCGCGGTGAACCGCACACGCGCACAAACGAGCCACTCGCGACACAAGCGACGGCGCGAATCCGAGCAATCTTCTCCAAATTGCATCAGCGATCGGCTAAAGGCTTGCGGCCCCGCGCAGAAAATGTCCCACTAATGACGTCACACGCGGATCGACCCAGATTAGATCGGATGGATAAAATAAAGGCGTACATACAAGCGGCGTTATTTAACGACCTGTGAAACGACGAGCGCGCCCAACAGACGTCGGCAAATTCAGCATCGGTTATTCTCAACACGATGACGTCGAACGTAACTGAGCGGACGAAGCGGCGACTCTGAATGCCTGTGCGACTGCGGGTGGGTGGCGGGCGCATAGGATACACGTAGACACCACTCCATTAGATGAGTACTACGTTCAGACGCCGGTTACTCCGACAAACATATTTTAGGAGGGAAAAAGCTAGACGAGTTAATTAATTATTTGCGGCGTGTTGTTTTAGATGACATTTGTCAGCCATTTCTACTTTTTTTTATAGACGAATTGGAGAGCCTGGTGCATTTCAGAACCCACTTCTATGATGCTATTAGTGTGCGAGGGAATGCAAATACCGGAGCTCTTATGATTCTGTACGTCTCCCCACACCGCCTTCCCTGTGACCCAACGACGAGGGCAGGCGTAATGGAAGATTCAATGTATGAGATATGTTGTCACGAGAGTCGTGTATTTATGAATCTAACAATTGCAAAACACGTACATTATCTATGAAATCATAGTGAAATCGGATTCGCAGAATGTTTTTCTACGCGTACAAAAATCCAGAGTGGTAACTACTTATATGGCCGGCCTTCATCGGGACATTTTCATGGTTCCGGACCTTAAGCGGGGACTACTGCATATGCTAGTGTAAGCAGGAGCGCATAAACAACGACCAACCTTCGATCGAGAGTTGCTTAAGGGTGAGCGGGATGCCCATGAAGTGCGCGTAGGAGTCACCGTAGTAGGCGAGCAGTTCCTCGCCGGGCGCGATGCTGCGGGTGACACGGTAGTAGACCATGCCGCCCTGTTGCACGGCGGCCATGTTCTGCTCCTGCCAGTAGCGGGCGCTCTGAACGTACCGCATCCAGGTGCTGCCCTCTATGAAATGCGTCACTTGTCCCTTCTCGTAGACCTGTAACCGAAATAATACGACAAAAAGTATGTAATAAATAATGATAAAATAAACAATATATATATATATATATAATATTTATAAAATAAATAATAGAAAAAATTAGTTAGAATTAATTAATTGTTCGCAGATTAACGTCGAATATCTTCATCCTCCTCACGGGAACGAGAAAGGTTGCCTTACCTACCTACCTATTCGGTCCAGGTGCACGATAGCGTGTAAGCATGATTGCGCGCACGTATACGTGCGTGCGTGCGTGGGTGAGTGTGAGTTTTGTAATAATATGTCCACCGTGTTCTAATAATGTGATTAGGAAATGAAAACAAGTAAACCTAACACGCGTTTCAAATATTTTCACCCATTCTAGGCTATATGCAGACCAGGCCATGCACACAAATAACGTACGCACATGAGCCTACGCGCTCAAACAATACACATCTAGAAAACACTTGGTTACGGTACAGTTTTTTTGCCTTAAATCAATTCAGTGTCCAGGGCACGTGCTGGAATTCATGTTTGCGCACAGTTCGGCACCCCAAGATAAACACTATTAATACAGACTTGTTATATATTTAACAAGATTTATCAATGTATTAAATATTTACTAACATGCTATAGAGACAATATTAATTATTCCCCAGAGTCTTCATTTTTCATGTGTCCGCGTCTATATTCTTAATTTAGCTAGCTCTACGAATGCTATCCGTTAATCAATCTAGAAGACTGCAGCGTTGGCAAGCGCAAGAATTTACATGTCACATTTGTTGTGGCGTCGAAACCGGAAAATTGGCCCGCTGAATCATAGCCATCAAGCTTCAGACGATCGAGTAATAGAGGCGCTGAGATTCGCGATGTCACGACGACGTAACGCATATTGAAGTCACGTGCAACCTTCGCGCGGTGTTTCGGCTTTGTGGTACAGGTCGGGTGCTATTCGGTTTATTTCGAATGACGCGGCGAATAAAGTTATCGCGGACGGAGCTATTTTTTAATCGAGAACTTCAGCGGTAACCAGCTTATTGTACAAGTGGCCGTGTCGAACGCGGGATACCCTTTATACGCGTATTCTATGCAAGTTATACTCTAACGTCAAGCTCTCTCGCGCAATTATAATCCTGACCCTTAAAGCTATTCTGCAGGCGAGAGAATAAACAATTACGTGCACATAGCCATTGAGTAATAAAGTTTTTGAAATAAAGTTTCAATACATGAACGTCACCTATAGGCTTGGATTACGAAATAATTTGGTTTTGCTATTAATTGAATTTATTTTTAAGGGTTATTTATAGTTAATTGGATTGTTTTTTGTGTGCAAACATTTCCCGAGTAAAAACGCATCGTGGTCACTCCAGCTGATTCGTATAATTTCACGAGCTAGAGCTGGTGAAGGAATGGCAGTATCGTACATGCACAAAATCATATCTCTATGGATTTCATTTAAAACGGCTTCAACTGCGAGATTTCAACAAGCCGGATGCACTAAAATCAAGTTAAATCCACGCGGTTAACGCGCGTCGAAACGAAATCGTTTGCACAATTACGCGTGAAACGATGCAGACTAGTTCTTTCTTTTTAACGGGATATACCCAGCGCGAGAAAAGTCGCTGATCACGTGGTCAATCACGCCTGCCCGATGCTTGCATAGAGTCGATTGGCAGAAGCGGGCAATTAAATGCGAGCCGTACATTGATCGAACAATTTAATTAGCATTATCTTTATTAATACTGGCTTATCGGAATATTTTAAAATACTTGTGGCCAAAATTAGCGAGAAGAATGACAAGATCGAGAACTAGCATCTATATGAATTGTCTCTCCCCTAGAATGGTTTGGTAAATGAGACACACGGGGATGAGACAAATAAACGGGTTTGCTTCTGACTACACATTAGTTGATGACCCGTAAGTTACGTAATCTATGGCGCAAGCATTCAAATTGTCACAACTGAATGTGTGAGCTGTTATTTGATATGCCACTAATTATGAATGTCCGGATGGGTCACTTTAATTACATACGCGCACATTCGCACTCACGCATACACACATATGCACGCGCGCATGCAGCCACTTACACATATTTACGCTATTGTACATGTATGTGTGTTTTGATGTACTACGATACTATTAACTGTGATAACAATATAATTTCTTCAATATCATTGTACTTTTTCGCCGAGGACTGATGCTATTCACAGATATATATTTTGCGAATGCATCTGTTTGCTTAGATGTATTCCAGAACCTTAAGGTAATTGTAGCGCTGGCATGTATTGCGTTCGTAGTATAATTGACGCGTCTCGTAGAGTTAAATCTTCTCTGCTGTAATTGGCTATACGGTCGTGCACGGCTAATCCGCACGTTTCGCTTAGCAATCGCAGCAACACCAGCATCGTCTACCGTTGCTGGTGTTCGCTCACGCGTTAGCCGCATCTGTGTCGGAATGCCACCGACTCGCCAGCTTCGCTGTCATTCGCGTCGCTTCCTAATCGCAGCAGCGGCAATGTGCTTCGAGTTTCCTTACCTCCCACAGCGCCGATGAGTCAACTTGCGGACCGAGGTCCTGCAGCGCCACGTAGCGGCCTTCGTACGGACCCATCCAAGTACCTGTACCGAAAAGAAACCCATCAATATTAAGTTGTTTATTGCTTCGTCGCTGCGTTTTGTAATAAACTAAACTACGCGTCGTCGTCATCATCATCATTTCATCACCGTCATCGTTATCGTCATCGTCACCGTCATCGTTATCGTCATCGTCACCGTCATCGTTATCGTCATCGTCGCCGTAGTCATCATGCGTGCGTCACTTGTCACGTTCTATATAACGCATGCAGCGTCTCTGTTCGTCGCTATATAAGCCTATCGGATGTCACTCGCTGTTGACGTGCATCCCGCGTTAGCAACTTTTCTCGGCGACATTGTCTGTTCGATCGAGAAATAAGCCGGTCGGCATTGTGTTCATTGTCTGCCTGCGTCGGTCATCATGTTTTTCTCGCTATAAGCGCCTAGTATCCGCCGTGCCTGATGACGCATGCTGCACGAGCCGAGATAAGCAGGAGAGAGAGAGACGAGTAAAGAGGGGGAGAAGACATCGGCAGTGAGAGCGAGAGCCGAGAAAGAAGAGAGAAGAAGAGAGAGAGAAGAGAGAGAGAGAGAAGAGAGAGAGACGAGAATGGGGGGGGAGAAAAGCGGCGTGCAACGCATGAGCTATATAGAGAGACGAAGAAGAACGAAGACGACGGAGCAGAAAAGAAATAATTCAAGAAGACACATAAGTCTACAATTCTGAAAGTGAAAAGCAAATAAAACGATAACGAGCAAGAAAGAGAGAGAGAGAAAGAGCGATAGAGAAGCGAAAAGAGAAAGAGAGAGAGATAGAAGAGAGAAAAAAAAGAAAGAGAAGAAGACTACGAAATACGAAAGAGAGATAGAGACGAGAAGAAAAGAGAGAGAGAGAGAAAGAGATAGAGCGAAGAGAGAGAAAGGGGGGAAGTGTAAGTCAACACGGGCTTCCCTGCACCTACCTCTTTTACTCACAGTCGACGAGAACATCCTTCCAAAAACAAAACGTACGATCGAACAGTAACACTTTCAACGGAATAATTGTATTTTTAGTAAAAACGAAATACATTCGTCTCTAGTGATACGTATTTTGAAAAGAATCCTAAGCGGCGAAGAAACGCCGCGAATTATATCGCGCATAACGCGGAAATGTGGAAAGCCACAATTAATAGATAAAAAAATTCGCGGCAAACATTGATGGATACTGCCATTATATACATAATAATAGCACTTGATCGATAGCCTCAAGACACCTAAGCATTAATACATATTTTAGCACAGCCCAATCAAGCGAAGTCAAATCGCAGCATTGATAGTCTTTATTAATTACGAAACCGAAACTATATATATTCTCGTATACTCCACACACATTACCGACATCCCCGGTAATCCAATCACTCTATTCATTGCCGCTCTCTATCTTCTCCTCTCTTTCCTCTCTCTCTCTCTTCTCTCTCTCTCTCTCTCTCTCCTCGTCTCTCTTCTCTCTCTCTCTACCCGCAGTCTCTCCTCTCCGGTGTTCACGGGGTATTCACTCTACGGCTGTCGCAACTGCAGCAGACTAAACAACATGCTACGCCAACCTGGATACAGCGTCCCAACGATGGATCTAGAGGTGATTGCAATATGCCCCGAAGCATACTATCATCAAGAACAACACGCCGTGATTGCCCCGTTCTTGAGCCATGATTTTTTTTTACAGAAAATTCCACCCGCAATGCACATATTTCTCAATTTAGCCACACTTACGGGTTGGATAACGTCCGTATCTCGCACACTGGAAACATTTACATCTAAATAAATACAGCGAAACCAAAAAATCGTTGTATTCACCAGAACAAAATCACCATGCCAAGGACAATCACCCACTACAGGCTTGTTATAGCGACTGGTTGATCGATGATCTCTATTAAATTTCCCATAGTAATTAGCAAAATACATATGACGATGAAGAAAAAACAAAATAATTTCCAATACAATAATAGAATCGCAACTCGCCTTCGACGGATTAAAATGATCTACGATTCTCAATAGCATAAACCTTCTGAAAAACGAAATATGATAACCGACCTGAAAAATATCGATCCTACAATTCTCTCAATACTCAACGCCGATTAAACTAGATATTCGTAACCCACGGGAAGATCGACGATTTTTCCAACGCCGAACGAATAAGCCGGACCCGATGCAATATCGATTACTTCGATCAGCGGGCCAGTGGGTGGCGAGGTTAGCGCTGCTTACGATGTATGATTAGCGCGCGAAACAGAACACCCGTAGATGGCCCCGGATCCGCTTACCAACAAGACACACCATCATCCGCTGCCTGTCTCCTTGAGCGCCTCCAGCGCCGTCTCGTTAGCTGTGCCTGAAATAAGGCCAAAAGCAACCGATACGGGGCGATGATGGTATAAGATACCTCCACAGTTACTCGCCCGCAGTTCAGCTGCATAGTCACGCCGTATGATGGGCTCCGAATTCTAGCGCCCGCTGGTTATACCCAATACTTACAAATAATAACGTAAAAAACATAAAATGAACGTATAAAAACGTATAAAATAAACGTACAAAGCGTGCCGTGTTTAACAATACTATTCGCGCCAACCGCAACAGCCTAGTATAACTCTGCTTTTCGAATATATCGGATCATGCAACAATCTCTAAATGAAGTTGGCTAATATATCCCGCGAGTCTTAAGCATAATACTCGCGTGCATTGCATAGATTGACAATAAAGCATCGCGTTAGAACTAGTTTACATGTCCACGCGATTCGCTCGCGCGCCACGAAATGAAGCCATTTCACTGTTTACCTAACCGCCAAGGCGGAGGTTTCGTAGCGAGTGCCGAGCATTGTCGATCAGACACCGCTCATATCATCATCATTTTGTAGTCGCCCGTTCGTATTTACCGAAAACGTTAGTTGACCCGTTCCGTGACCAATCTGCCGTCATCGATGACGTCTCAATCCATCCGCTAACGTCGAACGTGCGCGCGCGGTATTCTCCACGTATAGCATGTCGCTCTGCCCAGTGCTGCGTGCGCGTCGGTCGTGCGGTCGGCGTGAGTGCGTGCGTGAGTGCGTGCTCGGTGCAGCGTTCGTAAGTGCGGTCTCGTCGTCGCGGCGTTCTGTGCCTTCGTGCGTGGCGTCGTGCTGCGTGCTGCCCCGTCCGGTGCGGCGTGCAGTCTACGGTCTGTGCTCGTGCCGTGCGGTCCTGCATTCGTGCGGCGTAGCGTCGGTGCGGTCGTGCTGTGGGCTTCTGTCGGGCGTCGTGCGTGCTTCGTGCGGTCATGCCTGCTGTCGGCGGTCGTGCGTCGTGCGCTGCGTCGCGTGCTGCGTGCGGCGCGTTGCGGTCGTGCGTGATCGTGAATGAGTGCGGTGCGCGTGCGCTGTGCGTTCGGCGCTTGCTGCGTGCCCGTGCGCGTGCGTGATGGCGGTCGTGCGTGCGTGTCTGTGCGTCTTGCGTGGTTGCTGCGTCGTGCTGTGCGCGTGCGTTGTGCGTCGATGCTGCGGTCGTGCGTGCGGCCGTGCGTGCCGGTCGTGCTGCGTCTGCGTCGTGCGTGCGGTCGTGCGCGTGCCGTGCGGCGGCGTCGTGTGCGGTCGTGCGGCGTGCCGTCGTGGGTCGGCGTCTGCGTCTGCGGTCGTGCGTCGTGTCCGTCGTGCCGTCGTGCGGTTCGCGTAAGTTTCGTCGTCTTGCGGTCGTTGGGTCGTGCGTTCGTAACTGCGTGCTCCGCGCGCGCGCGCGTCGTGCACTGCTCACGTAAGCTGGACCAGCATCCATAATGCTAATGCTAGCCGCGTGTAATACTGCCATACGTCTGCAATCAATGCAGGCTTCATTGTACACATAGCGATCGCTTATCATTGCCTTGCTTTTTCTAACGCAGTGACTTGCTTGGCTCCTAACCTTTTAACTCCAATTATTCAAATGTCTGTTCTCTCCTTCTCCTTCATCTTCTCTCTCTCTACTCTCTGCTCCTCTCTCTCTCTGCTCTCGTCTCATCTCCTCTCTCCTCATCTCTCTCTCCTCTTCTTCACGCTGCTCCCGCTCTTTCTGCATTCCCCTTCTCTTCTCTCTCTCTCTCTCTCTCTTCACCCTCTCTCATTGTTGGAGTCTTTTGGACGAGTTAATAGATGCAACAGAGAGAGGGGGAGAAAGGATTACAAAGAAATGGGCGATCGCCCGTGAATGATAACAAGAGCGAATGAGAGCAAATGAGAGAGAGAGAGAGAGAGAGAGAGAGAGAGAGAGAGAGAGAGAGAGAGAGAGAGAGAGAGAGAGAGAGAGAGAGAGAGAGCGAGAGAGAGACCGAGAATGAGACGAGAGAAAAATACCAAGTTGAGCAGAATATAGAACAAGCCTAATTCAGGTATTATTTTCTTACGATAAAACGCGATCGACTAGCGTATTTATAACACAAAACCGCAGTAGGGAAGTAAGGCGGTTCCAATATCACAGCTCTGAGCAATAAATTATCCAGTTATTCAACGTACACACGTACGCACATGTCTACGACTCATCATAGAAATAGAAATCATGTTTAATTACGACTCCAGATCCAAATCTTTGCTGAGCATCCGATCCCTGGTGTCTATCACATATCGTATATATAAATATATATATATATATCATTGGCATGCATGAGGGCGTTAGCGGCATCTAATAAATGTACAAAGACAAGAATCTAATATTGTGGTTTGAAAACTCCGCAAAACGTGAGATACGGTGGCGGCGATGTACATACTACCGTTCAGGCACACGTGGGAGCACACAAACACGTGCACGCTACACCCCCCCCCGCCCCACACAGCACACACACACCCGCAGAACTTCAGATACACACACACCACCACACACACACACAACACACACAACACACCTACACACACACACACACACACATACACACACACACACACACACACCACACACACAACACACCACACACACACACACACACACAATACACGCACGCCGTACGGCACGCACGCACCACGCTGTGGACTCGTCCTTAAGTTGCTTATAAGTTTCTTAATAATACAGGATGCGCGTGCGTTGAGTGAAATAACGGCATTCCTGTCGCGAAAAATGACAGCGTAATAGCGCCCATAAGTTAAACAGTATCGAACGCAAATATTCACGGCATTAACGACGAAACAACGACAGATGTTTTCAAGCGCGACTCCCGCATCACACGCGATCTCGTTTGGCATCGTTTTTCATTCTCTCTCCCACATCCCACGCTCTTTCCTCCTCTCTCTGCTTCTGCCTGCATGCATCAATACTCCTCCACTTTTATTGTAATCTAATGTTTAACAAACATTTCAGCCTAAAACAGGAGCCCGGCGAAAAATGGCCCCGACGGAAGCGAGTAGTCAGTGCCTGCCCGTCGTCTGCCGTCTCTCATGGCTGGCTTGCGCTGTCCTGCCTGCCTGTCTTCCTGTCTCACTGCCTGCTTCCGCCCTCCCTCACTGCTGCCTGTCTGCTTGCCTATCTGCCTGCCTTCTGACTGTCTCCTTTCTGCTCGCCTCTGTCTGTTTGTATCCACGCCTGGCCTTGCCTTCTATCTGCCGTGCGCCTGCCTACCTCCGCTGGCTGCCTGCCTGTCTGCCGCCACCATCCTGCCTGACGCCGCTGTCTGCGCTGCCGATTGCTGCTCTTGCCTGCGTGACTGCCTCCTGCCTGCTACCCTCTGCCTGTCTGTATGCGCTAACCGCCTACTGCTGCCTGCCTGCCCTGCCTCCATGTCTCGATCCCATGCTCGTCTCTGTATGCCAGCTGCCTGGCTGTTTGCCGCATGTCGCTCCTGCTGGCTGTCCTGGCCCTTACTTCCTCCTGCTGTCCTACCCTCTCCTGCCTCCTTCCTTCATGTCTACTGTCGCTGCCTGCTGCCTTCTGCCCCTGCATTCTTCGCCCTGTCTACCTGCCTCCTGCCTCCTACCTCTTGCCTGCTGTCTGTCTGTTCTGCCTCCTACTGTGTCCTGTGTGGCTGTCTGTCTGTCTATCTGTCTGTCTGTCTGCCTGCCTGCCTTCCCGTCTGTCTGCCTGCCTGTCTGCCTGTTTGCCTGCCTGCCTGTCTGCCTGCCTGCCTGTCTGTCTGCCTGCCTGCTTGCCTGCCATGATTCGCTCATGCAGGCAGCGCGCGTCTCGTGCGGGTGTACATGTCCAGCTGCGTTGTATTGCCGATAGGTGCCTCGCCATGTCCGCCATGCAAAGGCTCTGCGTGCTTTTTACTTTGCGTTATTTCGAGAAAAATACTTTCCCGTCTTCGTTTTCACGCCGTCGACTATTTCTCGCGATCGTTTTCTGCCTATATTTAACCAGCCGGTGCTATATTTGCCGGTGGAATGCAGTTTTTCAACTACTCTGTGTTGTTTTTCGCATCACACTCTGATCGTTCTAAAGATATCCGATGGCGGCGCTACACACATTTCGCGGAGCGATTTTTCTGGCATGTTGTCAGCATGAGTGCATTTTTACTCGCGTTTGCAACCGTAATAAAATCCGGGAAGCCATCGCCGTGGCCATACCACGGCACGGCACGCACGACGACGCGTAGTGAAAAATGCCTCGGCTTACTATAATTTTATACGCCGTGCAAAAACCAATGAACTGCGTTTATATTTAGACGCTGAATGGTGACTATAAATTACTTTGATACGCTAGTTTTTACGCGGTGCGGTGCCCATTCAGAAACAGCTGTCGTCACCATGAGCAGTACGGGCACGCTGTTCAAGCTTGCGTGGTTTTACCTTACAACGTATAGTATAGTATTTTATAACATAAACTAATAAAATTGATCAAACAAATATGCTGAAAAGAACATAGGCTGTTATCGTTGTTGTTATTATTGCGTTTTGCGGTTAAATGTGCGTGAGAGAGAGAGAGTGTGTGTCGAAAGCGTGCATGAATACGAAATAATAGTTTCGCCCTGTTATTTATAGTGTTGAACAAATGTGGCGATCGTGCACCATACGGTGTCGCGTAACACAATTCTCTCATTGTACGAGAAAACGTCTGAAGCTAGACTACTGTGCCACAAATAGCGAACGAGATACAGTGTTCGCCTTCGTAGCAGTAAAGATACACCCTCTCCCCAAATTCGGTGTTGTATGAGTACATCCCTGTATTTGTCGCGTCGTACATCGCTGCTGGGCGACACCAACCAATACACCCGCGACACAACCGAATAGCACCAACACCCAACACACTACACACACACACATCACCACACACACAACACAGCACACACATACCACACACACAGCACACACACACACCACACACACACACACACAGCACAACACACATCAGCACAGCACACACACACATCACACACTCACACAACACAGCACACACACACACACACACACACCACACGACACACACAGTCACACACACACACACACACACCCACACACACACACACAACACACAATACACACACGCAGACAACACAGCACACACACACACACGACACACACACCACACACACACATACACACACACACCATACACCGCACCACGCGATACAGCTACGGCATCGCACGCAGCAGGCCGCACGCGCGCGCGACACAACACTACACAGCACACCACACACACACACACAGCGCGGCTCACATGCACCTCACAGACGCACGCAGACGCAGCCCACGCGCAACACACGCGCGCACACAGCGAGAACGATGTGTCGAGAATGGTGAAATGTTGTGGCAGGCTCCTCTCGCCGAACCATATTCTCCTCTGTCCCCCCCTTCTCTCGCGCAAGCGAAATCCTCTCCCGCTGGATAATAGCACCCGCGCATCCCATCCCAACACACCACCAGCTTCCAAGCGCGCGGAGCCGCCGCAATCAACTAAGTTCGTGACACCATAATCAGCGGAACCGGGCTGCGCGCAATCGCGTTCCATTACGCGCGTAAGTAGTAAAAATGCTCCCTACGTAACCGCATTCGCGAGTAGATAACAAGTTGCCCCCTTCGCCGAATTCGTGGCAGGGCGCCCGGAGATTAGACGCGGGAGCCCAGGGGGTCAGCCTAGCTGGAAAGGAAACCATTTTTCAATGCATATAAGCAATGATTCGTGTACATACCCGATGTAAGGAAATGTAAGTCTGGCAGGCATGCGCGTGTGGCGTGTGGTCAGTGGGTCATTTGAAAGGCAA